TTAGGGGCGAAGAAAGTCATTGATTGAGTTCCTAGTCCACACATCACCAGCGCATTGAGACTTCAGTATAATGCGCTATACCAAATCCCACTACATTACATTACATTAGAACAAACTTTTATTTTCCAGACCATTTCAGTTTTCTTTGTGTACCTGAAAATTAGTTTCACAGTGTGTCACCTACGGACCATTAAGTCCTTTGCAAGATGTAGCTACGCAAAACGTAGAACTTCTATTCCAGACCTCTTTGAATTAGGGGATGGTAAAACATGGGATTAAGCTTATACAGACAATTATTGTTATAACAAAGCAATATGATTAAATTCAGAAATATGATATAAAATGCAAAAAAAAAAATGTAAAAACTACTTCTCTTACTTTAACTGCCTTGACATTTTTCAAAGACTGCCTTGAAACCTGCAGTAATAGCAGGAGTTTTGAATTTGACAGCAAGCTGTTCCAGCTGAGGTTCCATGTCTGATGCATCCATGGCATTCCAGACGAGAGATCTGTCTGATCCAGCATTTGGTTTCAGTTCCATCTCCGGCGTGATTATGTGGTTGGCACAGATCTTCAGCACTTGATCTCTCCTCATTACTACACGGCAGCGATTTAGAACCTTGTGCTTCAGGATCTTGATCTCACCAACCCCACGCTCTTTCCACTGTGCCGTCTCACGATTCCAGCGGTACAGTTTCGCACGCTGGCAGAATAACTGTTCTTCTTCCTCTTCACCAGTTTTAACTTCAATTTCTTTCAGCGTGACAACAGGCTCAAACTGCAGATCGTCCCGTTCTTCCTCTGGGTAATAACCTTGGTCGCTGGATCTCACTGAAGCTTTTGCAGGACTGGATGCTGTGCTTGGCTCACTCTTCTCATCTTCACTCATTGTTTTTCTCACTGCTGCAGCAAAACTTTGTCCAAAGCTGAATGTTGGTGCAGAAGTAACTGAAAATATAGAAATTACATAATATAAACTTGCTAACACTGAGGTACAGGCCCGTAACCGGGGAGGGGAGGGCAAACCTTGCCTCTAGGCCTGCTTATTCTTCTTATGTCCCTAGGTAAGCATGCG